ACAGTATTCATTACTGCGTTATTCACAGTAGCCAAAATATGGAAACAACCCAAGTGTCCATCAACAAATAAATGAATAAATGTAATGAGGCATATACATGCCAAGCAACATATTCTGCCATAATGAAGTTGTGATCACACCACCACATGGATGAACCTTGAAAACATTACACAAGTGAATTAAGTCAGACACAAGTGACAGACATTGTATAATACCATTTACCTTAAACATGGAATAGGTCAATGAATAGAGACAGAAAGTAGGTTAGAGGTTACCAGGGGCTGGGGGAAGAATGGAGAGAAGGAGTTATTGCTTAATAGTTACAGAATTCTTGTTTGGGGTGATGAAACAACTTTGGAAACAGACAGTGGTGATGGTTGCATAATCTTGTGAGTATAATTCACACCACTGAACTGTACACTTAAAAATAATATAATTGCCCAAAAAAGAACAACTGAACCTACTTTCATGGTACAACTTCAACTCTATTACAAGTAGAAAGTATTGATATGGAAGGAGCAAACAGCTGTGTAGAAATATAGACAGGGCAGCCATGGTGGCTCACTCCTGTAATTCCAGCACTTTGGGAGGCAGAGGCGAGAGGATTGCCTGAGTCCATGGGTTTGAGACCAGCCTGGGCAACATGGTGAGACCTCATGTCTAAAATAAATTTAAAAATTAGCTGGGTGTGGTGGCATGCATCTGTAATTCCAGCTACTTGGAAGGCTGACGTGGAAGAATTGTTTGAGCCCAGCAGGTCAAGGCTGTGGTGGCTCTGAGCATGCCACTGCACTCCAGCCTAGGTGACAGAGTGAGACTCCGACTCAAAAATAAAAAAAGAAAGGGATATAGACAGTCCTAGATGGCTTCATATAGGAGATATTTTGAGAATGTTGCCAAGGGGAAGTAATTATGAAGATTTAAAATAAGTAAGATGTTCACAAGCAGAAATGAGAGGAAAGTTTTTGGTGAGCTTTGAGAGTTACTGTCCTAAGAACCCAGGAGTCACTGTCTGAGTTATATTCTTGGGTCTGTTGTTAACTGGCTCTGTGACCTTGGGATCTCTCTGGGCTTCATCTGTAAAATGGTGATAGTAATGATACCTCCAGCCGATGGTTGCTGTGAGGATTAAGTAGTTAATACATGTAAAAGTACCTAGATTAGGACTGGCACATAGTAAATGTTATGTGTTAGCTATTCTTTGTTATTGTTCATATATGCTTCCATTTTTATTCAAAAGCAAGTTTAGGAGATGTTTCTACTGATCTGACAGAGGTACTAATATTTTTGTTTGTTTTTGTTTTTTTGGAGTCAGAGTCTCACTCTGATGCTCAGGCTGGAGTGCAGTGGCACACTCAAGGCCACTGCAGCCTCAACTTGCTGGGCTCAGGTGATCCTTCTGCTTCAGCCTTCCAAGTAGCTGAAACAATAGGCATGTGCCACCATGCCCGGCTTATTTTTTGATTTAGTGTAGAGACAAGGTCTCACTATATTGCCCAGGCTGGTCTTGAACCCGTGGGCTTGGGCAACCCTCTCGCCTCTGCCTCCCAAAATGCTAGGATTACAAGTGTGAGCCACCGTGTACTGCGCAGTACTAATGTACTAGTGTTATGGGCTGAATCATGTCCCCCCAAAAAGACATGAAGTCCTAACCTTTAATATCTCAGAATATGACCTTATTTGGAGATAGGGTCTTTAACAGAAGTATTCAAGTTAAGAAGAGGTGGCTGGGCATGGTGGCTCATGCCTGTAATCTCAGCACTTTGGGAGGCTGAGGTGAGAGGACTGCTTGAGCCAGGAGTTTGAGACCAACCTGGGCAACATAGCGGGACCTCATCTCTACAAAAAATGTAAAAAAAATTATCTGGACATGGTAGTGGTAGTCCCAGCTACTTGGGAGGCTGATGCAGTAGAATTGCTTGAGCCCAGGAGTTGGAGGCTATGATGAGTCGTGATCATGCCACTTCACTCCAGCCTGAGCAACAGGGTGAGACCTCGACTCAAAACAAACAAAACAAGCTGGCTCAGTGGCTCAGCCTGTAATCCTGCACTTTGGGAGCCTGAGGTGAGTGGACTGCCTAAGCCCACGGGTTCGAGACCCACCTGGGCAACTTGGTGAGACCTCATCTCTACAATAAATCAAAAAATTAGC